GAGGCAGTTTGACCACCCTGTGGCTACCAAGTCCAATCTTTTTGATAAGTATGCCACCAGCCTCTTCCAGGGACCTAAAATTTGGGTAAGAACCCCTTTGGCTATACCCTGGACCTCATGCACGAACAGTTGGAAGGGCTTAGTTACAGCTGGCAATGCTAAAGCTGGGGCTTGAGTTAAGGAGAGTTTGAGCTGGTCAAATGCCTCATCCCCTGGTTCTCCTCAAATCAGTTCAGCTCCCTGACCCCTGGTGGCTTCATACAGAGACTTGGCAATTTCAGCGAAACCCAGCATCCATAGGTGGCAGTAGCCAGCAGCACCCAGGAATTCTCTAATTTGTCTCCTAGTCTTGGGCTTTGGTATGTTTAATATAATCTGGATCCTGTCAGACCCCAGGGAATGCTTTTTTTCCTTTGTGAATCTTGTAGCCCAAATAGGTAATTGAGTCCAGACAAAGTTGAGCCTATTTGGCAGACACTTTGTAGCCCAGAGTGTCTAGTTCCCTCAAGAGGTTTCTTGTGGCCTGAATACGAGTCCCTTCCAACTCTGCTGCCAGGACTACGTCATCCACATACTATAACAGAGTAACTTCAGGGTTGGCTTTCCTGAAAGGGGCTAAATCCCTTCAGAGGGCCTCATCAAACAGCATAGGGGAATTTTTAAATCCTTGAGCCAGTCTCGTCCATGTCATTGTCCATTATAGGAACCATCTGGATCAGCCCATTCAAAGGCAAAAATGAGCTGGCTTTCCTTGGCTACTGTCAAGGCAAAGAAGGCATCCGTTAGATCTAGGACAGTGTAGACTCGATGGTCTGGTGCAAGCTCACTGAGGAGAGTATAAAGGTTGGGGAGAGTTGGCTATATGGTCTCAACCCTCTTATTGACTTCCCAGAGATCTTGGACACGCCTGAATTCAGAGGTTCTGGGTTTCAGAACAGGAAGCAGAGGAGTAGTCCATGAGGACTGGCAGGGCACCAAAATTCCTGCTTCCCTTAGGTGATTGATATGTTTGGCAATCCCCAGACGAGCTTAGTGACTGATGGGGTATTGCCTAACCCTGGTTGGGGCAGCAGTGCCGGTCAATTGGATAATTATTGGCATTTTATGTTTTGCTAGCCTTGGCAGGTTGGTCTCAGCCCAAACAGTAGGAATTTCCTTTTTCCACCTGTCTAGAAGTGGAGAGTCTTGTTCACCAGGATTTTCATACAACTGATAAGTCTTCAGACACAGGGTACATCACCAAAATGGTGGGTGATTGGAGATCCAAATTAATAGCATCTCCAGTGAAGGAATGTGGGCCTTTAGGTTATGTAACAGGTCACATCCAAAGAGAGGGTATGGGCAATCAGGTATAAGAAGGAAAAAATGAGTTACAATTCCTCATGCCAAATCAGTAATTCTTGCCTGAGTTGGGGATACCCCTGGGTCTTCCCTATTGCTCCCAGATATAGATTTTGTCCTTGATCATAGGTCCAGCAGGGTTCTTTAAAACTGAGTAGGTAGCCCCTGTGTCTACCAAGAATTTGGTATCCTTCCTTTCTACTTTAAGGGTCACCATAGGCACCATGGGATTTAGAGGAAAGCCTTGGCCCTGTTATTACTCAGTGGCAGGCAAAACAGAAGCTGGCTTCCTCTGTTTGAGAGGACATTCATTCTTCCAGTGGCCCTTCTCTTTACAGTAGGCACATTGATCCTTTCCCAACTTGCATCTCTTGCTTGCTCCTTTAAGCTGCCTGTCATCACCTTGTTGGGGTTGAGGCTGGTGGCAGGACAGCTTTCCCCAGGCTGCCACCAAAATTTTTCCAATTTCTTTTCCTTGTTCTTTTGCAGGGCTATCTCGACCATGGTAGACCTTCTGGGCAATTTCCACCAGTTCAGAGATCAGTTTTCCCTCAAACCTAATAGTTTTTCGGTTCTCAGGTGCCTCTGGATCAATAGAGAATAGAGGCGATAGGCATTATAAAGCCTTTCCAGGAAAGTGGCAGGTGACTCATCTGACCCTTGAAGTGTGTTACTCACCTTAGAGAGGTTGGTGGGTTTTCTAGCTGCCACCTGTAATCTCTGCAACAGAGTCTGGTGATACTGAAGCAAGTGCTCCCTACCTTGATCCATGTTGAGGTCCCAATGGGGAGAGATAGAAGGGAACATAACCTCAATTCTGTCACCATTCTGAGTGGACAGCCCATCAGGTCCCAAAACAGAGGGGGCTGCCTCTCAGAGGACTCAGGTCTGCTCCTCCGAAGTCAATAGGATCTGTAAAAGCTGATGATAGTCTTCCCAGGTGGGTAGATGAGTGGTAAAGATTGAACTGAAAAGATCTCTGAGCCCCTGGGAGTTTTCATAGAATGGGGGAGTCTGGCTTTTCCAGTTGTAAAGGTCAGAGGTAGAAAAAGGGGTGTAGACCAGGATTGATTGACCTGGTTCTTGCCTTGGCTTCTGTCCAGGTGGGGGGTACAATCTCTCGGAGAGGCAAAACAGGGACAGGGGGAGGGGGAAGGAGCACAGGGGAGGATCCCTCAGCTTAAGGGATTCCTGAATGGGTATGGGGTGGACTCAACAAAGGATTTGGGTCAGGCTTAGTCCGAGGTTGTGCATATGGTGGTGGCCTGGGTCTGTTGTCCTCAGGTTCTGGGTCCTGAAGGACAGGATAAATTTTCTTAAGGGGTTGGGTAACCAGGAAGACTGACTTTGTTGATGTTCAAGTGGCCTTACACTCCTTCTGACACTTGGTTATCCATGGAGATGGGTTCTCCAAGAGATCCACTCCCATAACAATGTAAGGGATCTGATCCCGGTGAAACTCAAAGACAATCCTGTGAACAGTGTAAGCAAGATTAAGGTTAAAAGTTCCCTCTGATGGCCACTCTGTTCCCGAAAATGAAGGCCACTCGAATTCATGAGAATCCGGAGTTTGGGGGCTCTGAGACGGGAAGCCCATTCCATTTCTTCTTTTCCTGAAATCAGAGAAATTAGTTAACATACATTCCTGGGCGTGTTTGAGGAGAGAGATTGGCCCATGGTTAGACAGAAGGCCACAGTAACAATAAAGACTGAGAGACAAAAGAGATAAATCCAAACACTGTCTTTATCAAAATCCAAAACTTTCAGGCTGCCTCGGCTCGAGGACTTCTCTGACAGGTGGATTAATGCTGCGTCCAGCTTTCCATCTAGTACAGGCCTGGCCAGGTGCCCAAATACTGGCCAGGTGAAACAAAAAGGGGCTTATGTTGTGAGCACCGGTGACCCACACCTGAGGGTGGAAGGCTAGGGCTAAGGAACGCCTCTCAGAGGTCTTCCCCTGGCTGTTCCGACCTCGGAGCCTTAGATCAAGGATCCCAGAAAAATAGGAAAGATCTGGGTGGAACCTCCAAAATGTTGTAAGCTGGAAATCAGCAGTCACCACATAAGTGAAAAACAAGGAAAAAAACTATTACGGCCGGACTGTCCCTGGACTCTGGGTGAGTGCTCAGAGAACAGCCCTGACACTCTGCTGCAGTTATCTTTTATAGACAAGTACAGTTGAAGAGTCAAAATGCAAGAGTCAGAATACACTGACTCCATTTTGGCTAGCTGTTTCAGGCAAGCCTGGACAAGCCCAGGCATGCTGTAAATCTCCAGTTGATACCCGCCCCCCCACAAAGCCATAGATTAAGCAAGCCTGGGCATGTTAGGGTTTGAGAATCAAGAACAATTCCCACAGATACTCAAAAAGATTATACAAAAAGTTTATTCAAGAATTTAAAGTAAAAAAAGACAATAACCAAATGGCAGCTAGCCAGGCACAGACTTCACGAGCCAAAGATGGAGTCTGGCCATGAACAATAGCAGGCAGAAGCTTTTATTGAGGCACTCCACAGAAACCTGAGAGCACCAAGCATTTTTAAAAAATAATTGGATGTCCCCATATCCTGTGTATGGGGGGAAGTCTTGATTGGTAGGGACTATCTTCAGGGCATTGGAATGTGCTAATATCTTTTAGAGCCAGAAGTTTTTGTTCATATCTTATAAGGCTTTTACATGTACAATATGCCTGAGCTTGTCTAACGAAGCTAGCCAAAATGGAGTCAGAGCATTCTGGCTCTTCATTATAAGGTAGAAACAGAAACTTCTGGCCCTACAGATAACAGTACATTCCAATGCCCTAAAGGCAGCCCCTACCAATAAGAATCCTCCTGTACTCAGAACATAGGACCATCCAATCATTTTAAAGTGCATCGGGCGGGCGCAGCGTGGTTTGGGGCTCTCAGTATGGATCTGCTATGTTGATGAAATCTGAGGGCCAGAGCTAAAGCCAGAATAAAGGCTCTTTGCTGTTGCATACACTCTGGACTCCTTGGTGGTCATTGAGGGGTCACAAGATCTGGGCGTAAGACAGCATAAAAGGTTCAATTTCTAAAAATAGTCAACCAGAGCCGGGTAGTGACACAGGGATTTAATCCCAGTACTGGTGAGGCAGAGGCAGGCGGATCTCTGTAAATTCAAGGCCAGCCTGGTCTACATAGTGAGTTCCAGGTCAGCTGGGGCTACAGGCAGATCCTGTCTCAAAAAGACAAAGAAACAAAACAAAATAAATAAATAATAAATAATAAATAAACCATGCAAGCTTAAGCAAGCAAGCACATTTACAGAAGCAGATGTTTGCAATTCAGCAGTTTCCTTTGTTCCAATTAAGACATCCTGTGATGTTTGCCACATTCACCTTCCTGATATTGTGCACTGTTTTTGGCTTCAAAGATTACAAGGAAATAACGAGTACAGAGACCATAAGTTTAACTTATTCAAAAACAGGGGAGTCACTTAAAAATGACATTCCTCTGGTTTGGTTAGGGACCCTCACCACTTCATTTAATACCCTTGACGGAGGAAAAGCTCTGAAGACTCTACTACAGAAGTCAAAGGAAGCGAACCCTAGGACCGCCCGGACCCATCTAGAGGACTCCGCCTTCCGAGTTGGGCGTGCGGCTGCGACCCCGATCACGTGGACTCAGGGTCACGTGACTGCGGCCGTGCGCCCAGGACGAGAGGGCGGCGGGCCAAGATGGCGGCTCACCTGTCCTACGGTCGAGTGAACCTGAACGTGCTGCGCGAGGCGGTGCGTCGTGAGCTGCGCGAGTTCCTGGATAAGTGCGCGGGAAGCAAGGTGAGGGGCGCAGGCGCCGTCTCGTCCTGCAGGTCCCGGGTCTCCGGCGCGGTTCCCTGAGCTGCACGCTGCCCACTGAGTATCCCCACTCACCCGGCTGCGGTTAGCCCGGGTCTGCAGTGGAGTCCTCGGAGACCTGGGCCTGGGGCATGCCCAGCCATGACCACTCAGCCCACGCCTACACAGCTTCCACACAGATTGTGAGCGAGGATGCAGTTAACTGGAATCTTAACTTGGCCTTTAACAAATAAAGATCTTTTCGCCTGTTAAAGCTCCCGGTTGACAAGGGAAGCAGACTACTAGATCAGGGACTTTATAGAATTTCTTCTTTTTCTCTCTCCATTTTTATTTTTGTGTAGCCAGTTCCTAAGTGTGTAAGCCAGAGTGGCCCCAAACTCCCCGTTCTCTTGCCGCACTCCCACCCCACCCGGTGGTGGGATCACAGACATGAGCCATCATGCCTACCTAGGCGTGGGATTTAAGTGTTCCTTCTCTGCCCTTCTGAAATTTACCAGGTACCTCCTAAGAAACAAGCAGTACTACTCTGAGGAGAAAACTGAAATGAGAAACTTTAAGAACCAGTTTTTTTTTTTTTTTTTTTTTTTTTTTTTTTTTTTTTTTTTAAAAAAAAAAAAAAAAAAAAAAAAAAAGTCCTGGAACTCACTCTGTAGACCAGGCTGGCCTTGAACTCACAGGGATCCTCCTGCCTCTGCCTCCCGAGTGCTGGGATTAAAGGCCAGCGCCACCACGCCCGGCAAGAACCAGTTTTTTGGTTTTTGGTTTTTTTTGGGGGGGGGCTGTCTTTTTTGAGACAGGGTCTCCTTGTAGCCTCAGCTGTCCTGGAACTCACTGTGTAGACCAGGCTGGCCTCTGCCTCCCAAGTGCTGGGATTAAAGGTGTGGGCCACCATGCCCGGCAAGAACCAGTTTTTAAAGAAAATCCCAGTACATAAGGTGGTGGTTTGCTGCTATATTTAAACAATGAGCCCAGATTAAATGATACTGAAATCCGAAAGGGATGATAGTGTATAAATGCAGTATTCTGAATGTAATACTGTATTATCGTTTTGCAAAATGTTACTACTGGATAAAACAGGGATCTCTGTATTCTTGGGACAGAAGGTTTACAATTATTTAAGTCAAAATTTCAGTTAAGAGGAAAAGAAATGCAGCTGAAGTTTTTAGCAGTAGAGATATTCAAAGAGCCTATCAAAATAAAGATTTCTAATCATTGCTGGACAGGGTGGTGCATGGTGCACACCTTTAATCCCAGCTGACTGCAGGCTCTCTATGAGAAAGGGGTCAGCCTGGTCTACATAGCAAGATGTAGGCCAGCTGGGGCTACAGGGAGACCCTGTGTCAAAAAAGCAAAAACAAGAAACTCCAAGACAGGGCAGGAGAGATGGTTCAGCAGTTAAGAGCACTTACTACTCTTGTAGAAGGCCATCCATGTGTGAGTGCTGCCTGTAACTCTAGTTCCAGGCAGATTTGACACTTGTAGCCTTGTGGGTACTTGTCCTTATGTAGACATACACAGACACACAAATACACATAATTAAAAATGAATTCTTAAAATAGTTCTACTGTGTATAACTGCTATTTTGTGTTGCTGTTGTTGAAATTTCTGAGAATATCTGAAATAAAAGAATGTTTCTCCCCTCTTCCAGGCAATAGTGTGGGATGAGTACTTAACAGGACCATTTGGCCTGATTGCACAGTATTCACTACTAAAGGTAATGAGATCATAGGTTCTGTTTAGGTATTAATAATGCTGAACTTTAGCATTTAGTAATAGGATTTTTAAATATCCTTCTGAAAAATTATTTGCAAAGTGATTTATACAAACACTGATATTAATAAGTGATTAAGATTTTGCATAGAGGCTGCAGGTCAGTGGTATACTTGCCTAGGATGCAGGAGATGCTGGACTTGCTCTCCAGTACCACACAGAAGAAAGAGAAACAAAAACAAACCATTTTGCATGTATGCATTGTATCATATGACCATTAGTGCCTTTGAGGGCTCACTACCAGAATCATTTGCCTGCTGATGAAATAACTGACTTTATCTTGAAACTTTATGTATTTGATTGGGCCTATGGATGATGTGTAAATCTGGAGCGGATAGATTTCAGGGTTTTTGCAACCTTCTGTCTATGTTTTCCCAGGAACATGAAGTGGAAAAAATGTTCACACTTAAAGGAAGTCGTTTGCCAGCAGCTGATGTCAAGAATATTATTTTTTTTGTCAGACCCAGGCTAGAATTGATGGATATAATTGCTGAAAATGTGCTCAGGTATTTCATAGTTCTGATAAAAAGTATTTGGGTTTTAAATAATTGTTTAAGCATTTATTTATTTATTTGTGTGGAGGGACGACAGTATATGTTACAGTAGATGGTAGAGGTCACAGGACACATTGCGAAGTTGGTTTTCTCCTTCCACCACCTGGGCCGTAGGGATTGAACTCAGCTCATCAGGTTTGGTGGCAGGTACCCTTACCCACTGAGTCATCATGCCCTGCCCAGAAGGTGGTTTTAATAATGGCTTTAATGTCCCAAATTCCTTCTCCTTATCAGCCCCACTCTTACCAGTGTATTGGAAAGTAGTCTTTTGGAAAACTGGCACCAGGCTTGGAAGAATATGGTAGGGAGGGGAAACTTATGAGAGTGTTCTGAATAGTTTTAGGGGATTTATCATTAATTTCATTCTTTTGGAATAGCTAAAAGTTCAAACCTATATGAATAGAAAGGACCTGGTTTTTTTAAAAAACTTAAAACCACTAATGGTATTTTAAAATATACCAGATGTAGTCTGCTTGAATTTCATAAGCAAAATAAGTAGGAGCTGATTAAAATTTAATGTGGCATCTAATCTATAGAGGAAGTTCTTTGCATAGTCTGCAGTCCGTGGTACAATTGATTGATGCAGCCCCTAAAAATCTTTAAAACGTATGGGCTATTTTTAGAAGTCCACTGTCAAGGAGAGTAGGGGGTGGGAGGTAAGCTAGCTCTCATTTTAATTAAGACTGTTGTATTACACTGGTTTGGTTAAAAAGCGTTGGTTTTCAATAAAACACCGATAACCTATTTTAAGATTTTGTTGGTGGTAGTGGTGGCTGTTTTTGAGACAGGGTCTCCCTATATCCCTGGCTGACCTGGAACTCCCTATGTAGACCAGGCTGCCTCAATCTCACAGAGATCCACCTGCTGAGATTAAAGACCATCACCACACCCAACACCTAAGATTTATTTTTATTTATGTGCATGTATGTGTTTCTCCCTGTTTGTACGCTCTGTGTGTGCATGCAGGACGAGGCCAGAGGAGGGTGTGGGTTAACTGGTGAGACAACTCCTCAGCCCCAAGTCCTGTTTTAATAAACCTGAGCACTTTAACATCCCATAAGTGGTTTAAGAGAATGTTAGAAGATAAGTCACAAAGTACTAGTGAATGACTCAGTGCTACCTCCTGTGTGGGGTAGAGAAAGAACAGAGCTCAGATTTGGGTGTGAGAATCTGTCCTTAGATGTTTATTTCAGCAGCATTTGTTTAGTGCATGTCAGGCAGTAGGCATAAATTAAGTAAAATAACCGCTGACCCTAGGGATTTCATAAGTTAACAATTGTTACTTCCTTTGCAGTGAAGACAGACGTGGCCCAACCAGAGATTTCCACATTTTGTTTGTGCCGCGTCGTAGCTTGCTGTGTGAGCAGCGGTTGAAAGATCTGGGTGTTTTAGGATCCTTTATCCACCGGGAAGAATACAGTTTAGATCTCATTCCGTTTGATGGGGATCTCTTATCTATGGAATCAGAAGGGGCATTCAAAGTAAGTTTGACATTTCCTTGGTGTCAGACTTTAATTTTGTCAGTATTAGTAGAGTGTCGTAATACTATTTCTCTTTGCTGTCCATGGCCTCTGTGAAGCTGAGGCCCATTTCACATGCTCACCAATGTTCATTTTCTTTATCCATTTCTCTTCCTCCTCTTTCTTTCTTTGTGTGTATAGTATTTGTGTGTGATGTATGCACATGTATGGGCACCCACAGTGCACACACTAAGAGACCAGAGGAAGATATCTGATGTCCTTCTCTGTCCCTTCTGCCTCATTCCCCTGAGACAATGTCTCTCACCAAACCTGAAGTGAGGTTGGCAGCCAGGAAACCCCCGAGAGCCTATTATCTCTGCCTCCACAGCTCAACCATGCCTGGCTTTTTACATGGGTACTGAGTATTTGAACTCAGATCCTTATACTTGGGCAGCAAGCACTCTTAACCATTGAGCTAGCTCTACCATCCCCTCACCTTTTTTATTTGGCATGGTCTTGCTATGTAGTCCGTGGTGCTTCAGGCTGCCACCCTCCTCTGCCTCCCAGGTGCTCAGGTTATATTGTTTTGTTTTGTTATTTTGAGACAAGGTCTCATATAGCCCAGGCTAACCTTGAACTCCTGATTCTCTTACTGATACTCTTGCCTCCCATCTCCTGAGTCCTGGGATTGCAGACATGTACCACTATGTCTGGTTAGTTCTCCCTCTTGTTTTTCAGAATTCTTTATATTTCTAACTACTAATCATGGGTTATGAAGGCTACAGATGTCTTTTCCAGTATCATTCTGGGCTTTTCACTTGGTGATAATGTTTTGAATTGTATAAACATCTTCCATTATGAGTAGTTAGATGTTTCAATAATAGCTTTATTTTAATCCACATGCTATAAAATTCATCCCTTTAAAGTCTTCAGTTAAACATCTGCAAGCCCAACATTAGGGAAGGTGAGGCAGGAAAATTGAGAGTTTGAGGCCAGCTTGACCACAATAAGAGACCTCAAAAATAAATTAAAAAAAAAAAAATAAATAAATAAATAAAACTAATTTAAAGATTTTATAAATATAACCTGCTCACATGTAAATTTATTTGAGTCAGGAAGGGTACAAAGTGACAAGAAAGCTACTCTTCCCCAGGTCTCAGACCGCTGGTTCTTTGCAGAAGCAATTCCTGCTTTTCTTTTCATTGTAATGCATTTTAAAGATTTTACTTTTAATCATGTGTGTCTGAGTACCTGAGGAGGCCAGAGGCATGGGATCCCATGGAGCTGGACTTACAGGAGGTTGTGAGCTCCCTGATAAGGGGACCAGGAACTGAACTTGGGTCCTTTGGAAGAACAGTATGTACTCTTAACTACCCAGCCATTTCTCAGCCCTCTCTAATTGGTATCAAAGATTGTTTACTTTTTTTCAGAGAAGCTTTATGCAGATTATACCTCATGGCACAACATGGGTACACTCACACTCACATACATGCAGGCAGTATGCTCATACACATAAAATAAAAATAATAAATAAATTTTTTTTTTTTTTAATTTTGGTCTTTTTGAAGCAGGGTCCTCCCTGTAGCCCCAGCTGTCCTGGAACTCACTATGTAGACCAGGCTGGCCTTGAACTCACAGAGATCTGCCTGCTGCCTCCCAAGTGCTGGGACTACAGGCGTGTGCCACCACGTCTGGCTTAAATAAAATATTTTAAAAAATAGAATTATAAAAGGAGTGTCTTGGTAGTAATATGGCTTTTTAAAACAAAGCATGTATTTCATATTAACCATTTTAACTGGGCATTTTAGGTCGTTTTCCAGAAACTTGGCACTCTCTGTCATGGGCTCTTGTGCTCTGGGAAATGTTAGAAACATCATCATTGGAAGAGTTGCCAGCAAGGCTCTTAGTGATGACCATGCACTCGCTGTGATGTCTTTTGGGAGACAGCCACTCTTCCTGGGCAGAGTACCTAAGAACTCCACTCTCCCTTCCCCAGTCCCTGGACCCTGGCTATCCTCTAGCTCTTGAAGACACTTTGGGGTATCAGCAGGGGAGGTGTCTGGGAGGAGATAACATTTACCTCTTTTTTTCATTTTTTGGTTGTTTCGGATAGTGTGTCATATAGCCCAGGATGGCCTGAAAATCCTGATCCTTCTACTTTTATCTCCCAAGTCTTGGGATTACAGGTGTAATCCATCCCTGCCATGGATTCGATTTGTAAATGGATGGTGATTGTAAAAACATCCAAAGCAGTATTGGGAAATTAGCTCAGTGGTAGAATGCCTGAGGTAGAGTGCCTGAGGCCCTGCCTAGGTTTCAGTTCTGAATAACAGGTATAGGCTGAGTGTGGTGGCTCTCATTTTTAATCCCAGCACTTGGGAGGCTAAGGCAAAAGGAGTGCCCTCCCAGAATTCCTTGAATGCCCTACTAGAGTTTATACTCATCAATGAGTGAGTCAGGTGCGAGTCTTCATAAGTCTTTAATTGGCCAACAGATTGACTAAGAAGAGCTGCGAGCAGCTCTCTTCCAGGAGCCCCAGCCATGCCTGGGGCAGTGGCTTCTACAACTGTGTCCTGCTAAGGAACTTCTGGACTTTGCCTAGGCTGGTGTCTCAGCAAAGCATGAAATTGTTGGAAATGGGTTCATCGTCCATTGCTGCCTCCAGGAACAGAGGAGGCCCCTGGGAGATGACCAAGGCCCACAGTAAGCAGCCTTTCTCTTCACAGGAGTGCTACCTGGAGGGTGACCAGACGAGCCTGTACCATGCAGCCAAGGGGCTGATGACCCTGCAAGCCCTGTACGGAACGATCCCCCAGATCTTTGGGAAAGGAGAATGTGCCCGGGTGAGAACTGGCTGCTTTCTGGTTTTATCCAGAACATAGGAGTCAGGGAACTCTGACAGATAAAACTTGTTACTGACGAATTCTGTATTAAGGAGACAGCCTCTGTTACAAATCTGTGTTAAGGAGCCCACCTCCTCACTGCAGTTCACGTGAACTGTGTAGTCAGTGCTCAGGGTGCTTTTGGACATGCCTGGTGTGGTAAGAGAATTCTCACCCACTGAACTTGTTCCCAGCAGATGATAAACAAGGTGGCACTCTGTCTTGTTGTTGAGGGCCTTGGACCACAAATGAGGGTCTTTCAGTCTGTTTTTGTTAGCTTTTTCACACTTCTGTACTTTTGGGCAGTGATTTTGCTGTTTAAAGTGCACCCTAAGTGTAGTATGAGCTGGCGTGTATGCTTGACAGAGAAAATGGTATTGGAAAATTCCATTCAGGCCAGACTTACGGAGTTATTGACCTTAGTTCATTGTGAATGACTCACTAGTATACGTTGTCAGGTCTCTAAACAGAAGCATGCAACACAATGTTTTATACTGATCTGTTGACAAGAGGTGTGACCAGGGGCTGGAGAAATGGTTCAGTGGTTAAGAGTACTTGCTGTTCTTCCAGTGGACCTGAGTTCTGTTCCCAACACCTATGTCAGGTGACTCTCAACTGCCTATAACTTTGTTCCAGGGCATCTGATACCCTCTTCTGGCGTCTGTGAGTGCTACACTCACATACACATATCTCTGTCCCCCCCAATAAAAAATAAATAAATTTTTATAAAAGAAAAGCTGTGACCAGGCGATCATAGATCACAGTTGCCTGTTTTCCTGGGGACAGTGGCTTAGTGCTGGTTGCTCATGTCTGCAGATACTTTGTGGAAGGTAACAGCTCGAATCACAAGCATAGGCTGTATCCGATGGTACCTAGTAGCTGCTCTTGACTGTTGGCGCTAGGATGGATGGTTAGCTGTAGGTGCTTTTTGATAGCTGTTTATTTCATAATCAGATAGTCATTCTTGCCCTTGCCAAGTTTTTCTCCTTTAGCTGTTTGATTTTTTTTTTTTTTTTTTAGCTGAATTTTAAAATCTGCTAGTTCACTAGGTGTGGTGACACATGCCTTTAATCCCAGTTCTTGGGAGGCAGAGGCAGATGGGTCTCTATGAGATCAAGGTCACACTGGTCTACATAGTGAGTTCCAAGCAAGCTAGGGCTATAGGGAGAACCTGTCTTAAAAAAAAAAAACAAAAAACACACACACAAAAAAACAAGTAAATACCAAGACCTAAAATCTGCTAGTTCCCAGAAAGGTCCCAGCTGATCCAATGTTTTGTTTCCAGCAAGTGGCCAATATGATGATCAGGATGAAGAGAGAGTTTACTGGAAGCCAAAATTCAATATTTCCTGTGTTTGATAACCTCTTGTTGCTTGATCGAAATGTGGATTTATTAACGCCCCTTGCCACCCAGCTTACATATGAAGGGCTCATTGATGAGATTTATGGCATTCAGAACAGTAAGTAAAGTGCTGTCTATTCTTTAATAAGTAAGAAGATAAAAAGCTGTTTTCAGGGCTGGAGAGATGGCTCAGCAGTTAAGAACACTGGTTGTTCTTGCAGAAGACCTGGGTTTGAATCCCACATGGTGGCTAACAACTGTCCGTAACTCCAGTTCCAGGGGATCGGATGGCCTCTTCTGTCCTCCTCAGGCATTGCATGGCATGGGTGCACTGACCTACATGCAGGCTATACACACATACACATAAAATAAAAATAATAAAGGGGCTGGAGAGATGGCTCATCGGTTAAGAACATTGATAGTTCTTGCAGAAGACCCAGGTTCAGATCCCAGCACCCACATGGCAGCTAACAACTGTCTGTAACTCCAGTTCCAGGGGATCCAGCAGCCTCTTCTGTTCTTCGTGGGCATTGCATGACATGGGTGTAGTTACCTACACACAGGCAATACACACATACACATAAAATAGAAATAATAAATAAAAGATTTTTTTAAACAATAATAAAAATTTTTTTTTAAAGTAGCTGTTCTCTAGAGCCTGCCAGGGTCTCTTTGTAGCTCCAGCTGTCCTGGAACTCAATATATAGACTAGGCTGGCCTCAGTCTCATAAAGATCTGCCTGCCTCCGCCTCCCTGGTGCTGGGACTAAGGTGTGTATCACCATGCCTAGCCAATGTTACTTTCTTAAGCATTGTTTGAACTTAAAGTTACTAGTCCAAGCCAGGCGTGGTCCCGCACACCTTTAGTCCCAGCATTTGGGAGGCAGAGGCAGCAGATCTATGTGAGTTTAAGGCCAACCCTGGTCTACATATCGAGTTCCAGGCCACCTGGGGCTACAGGGAGACCCTGTCTCAAAAAGACCAAAAAAACATTTAAGGTGCCCCCATTTCCCCCCTTTCTCCCTTACTAATACCCTCCTCCTATGGCCCTACTTCTCTTGAGCTCCTTCTTTTCCTTTATTGCCTAGGTTCCTCGTATCCCTCTCTCCTTACATTGTTTTTGTTTTGGGTTTTTTGTTTTTAAATTTTTTAAATTTATTTTTATTTTATGTGTCTTGAGCATATTGCCTGGATGTATTTAAGTGCACCATGTTGTGCAGTGTTCACAGAGGTCAGAAGAGGGCGTTGGATCCCCTAGAACTGGAGTTATGGAGTACTCATTGCAAAAAAGATCCAGGAGGTTTGTATGAGAATTTGTCTTGCCATTTATTTTCCAGACTATTCTAGATAGGTCAAATGGTTGAGGCCATTTATACAAGATTGAGGAACCACTAAAATAACAAATACTATTTACATGTTCATGCTGGAACATGAAAGGCTGTGTAGCCAGTTTATATCCATTGTGAATTTTGTGCTTATATATCTGTGTGTTGTTTATGTCTAATATGTAATATATAAATGACCAAATAAGAACACTCAGAAAGGAAAATAACTGGAAGAAGAGTAATCAGACCGTGTTGCCATTTTACTTCTTTTTATTTTTAATATTTAGTTGTTTTTTAAAAAAATATATTTTTACTTATTCTTTTGACAATTTTATACATGTATATCATGTATTTTGATCATATTGGACCTATTAAATTTTTTTTACATCTATTTGTGTGGGGGGGTGTTGGGGTGTACATGCTGTGGTGCATGTTTGGAGGTCAGAGGACAGCTTTGTTCTCTTTTTCCATTATGTGGGTTCTGGAGTTCAAACACAGGTTTTTAGGCTCAGTGGCAAGTGTCTTTACCAGGTCACCCATCTCTTCTGTTTTTATTTTTTGAAACAAAGTCTCATTGTGTAGCTCCTGCTGGCCTTGAACTCTCTTCTTTCTGGTTCAGCCTCCTCAGTGCTGGGATTTTAGATATAGATTGCCATTACACCTAGCCCAAAGGTTATTTGGTTATCTTGATGTGTGATTCTAGGGTTAAGCAGCATCTGAGCAAACTGCTGCTAGAGGTGACTCAAGGACTGGCTAGGCTATGCCTGGTCCATATGAACAGAGGCTAACCACAGGTGGCACTGCAGACCCCTGTGGCTGGCAGGAAACTGGAGAGCTTCTGGGTTTGGAAAGAAGGGTAAAGTTCAGATGGCAGTGAAGGACGTGGGGCAAACGGCATGCTAAGTTGGGGGACAGCCAGCTTGAAAATTGTGGCACACAGATGACAAAGTCCTCAAAGGCTTCTTTAAGGCAATTGGGGTCACTAGTTGGAAGACTTGGAAGACCAGGTGGGGTTTGGGCTTTATCAGTGATTAAACCAGAGGTCACAAGATGTTTTGTTTATTTGGTTTTGGTCAACATTATATTTGATTCTGTCAGCATTTAAAATGCAAATTATCTTGATTTATGCCATGTCTTTAAGAACATTTAAGCTCTGTCAGCCCCAGGATCTCATTCCCCACCTGGCAACTGGTATCCAGTGGAGCTGTCCCTATTAGACAAGGTCACTTCTCTATCTCACCATGGATACACACACACACACACACACACACACTCTGTAGGACCCCCAACCAGGGGTACCCACTGTAGGACCCCCAACCAGGGGTACCCAACGTCCACGGGAGGTCGCACCCCAATAACTCAGTCCTCAGACCAGGAGATGCAACAAGCAAGAGGATTTAATCGTTTGCGCAGACGGGCTTCTGCCTCACTCGAGAGAGCAGCAGCCAAGAGCTCAGCTCACAGGCTTCTTTTAAAGGCAAAAACCACAAACCACAAGCGGCAGAAGTGGGAGGGGGGAGTCTAATATCAGGAAACTGAGTTCCCAGGAAATCATCAGTATCATGTCTCTCTAGGTGGGCCTAATGACCTGAGTAGGTACAAAGCAGTTCCTCTATGAGGAAGGAACAGGAATAAAGACAGCAATGAAGACAAGCACTAAAGCAGAACAGCCAAGGACACAGCATGCTTTTTCTCAGCAGTTAGAAGT